CAAACATCTGTGATAAGTCACTTTCAGTTAAACCTACACACACACACACACACACACATATATATATATATATATATATATACAGATTCTGATGGTAGACATTTTCAAAAACAAAATATTTTCCTTGTCCTCACTATGCTTTAAGTTAAAGATATAACATACAAATATACATAAATTCCTTGCTGTGTATTTCATTATTAAGCTGTTTTCTCCCTTTTTCTAAAGATTTTTAACTGATATACTTTTAAAGGCGATCTGTTCTTGGGATTTGGGTTGGTTGCATAGTCAGTGGTGAAGGGTAATTTTATGTAAAACGGAAGTAACTGGTCATAAGCATAGAACATATCGCATTTAACAAAGTTGCTCATCATTTCATTCCTGTTCAGTTACTACAGACAAGGATAGAAATATTTCAAATCTTTAGATTTTGTTTTTTTAAGTACTGAAAGTTTTGTGTAAATATGTGCTTTTCACAAATTTCTCTATAACTTGATTTGGCTGCAAAATAAAAGCACTTATTTTGAATGAAGTATAACAAAACCTGGGTTATACGATTGCCTTCTTTTTGTACAAGATACCTACAATTACCTTGTATAGCATTCTACATGCATGTTACATTATATTGCAGTCCTGCATTATTAGCATTCTTATTTCAGAACTCTTCTGTTTACACATTAACATTTGAAATTATAGCTGCTCTAATGGAAGATTTTATTACTGTTCAAACTATCCTATTATGTGATCTGTTTTTGTTTGGAAAAGTTAGTTATAAGGTTTAAAAAAATAAATTTTATTTTATTTACATATAATATAAAATGGTTAACTGAACCTGTACTAAGTGTACTGTGATTTGTTATGGATTGTATTAGTATACTATATGCATATTTAAATTATAAGTTGATTAATTTTAATTGACATTGGTATTAGTTTAGTTCTAGATTTTATAAGTACCTGTTAAGTGATATTTATGTTTATTAACTGTAATGAGTCATAAATTACATTTTGTAAAAGTGTTGAATAATTTATTGGGTACATATACATATATATATATATGTGTGTGTGTGTGTGTAAGTTTGAAATGTAGTAACAAAAGCAGTTATGATGTTTTTTTTTTTATTTTAGGGTGCTATTACAGTGTTAAAAAATATATGTCTTTGGAAGACCAGCCTGGATCTGATGCTGCCTTCAGCTTTACCACAAATCTTAAATCATACTTAGCTCTGAGAGACACTTGGTTGGCGTTTGGTGAGAATTTAGGCTTGAAATATATATCGTCAAAGGAACATACTGAAGATAATCAAGTAGTTTTTGTAATTTTTACATTTGTATCCTTTAGTGAAGGATTAGAATCAGGCATAAATGTAGCAGTTTTTTTACATGCAATTTTCTAATCCTAAGATTTAACTCAGTAAAAATATACTAGAAAATCTTCATGAAGAGGTAAAAATCATATATGAAAACTAAATAAATTACATCATATACTGTTAACTTATAAAGTCTCAATGAGTATGTTAAAAAAGACAACTTTTATTAATTTCAGTTAAAACTGTGCATTATAAAAACTGCTCACAACAGACTATGTCCACAACTAGTGTCAGTTATTTCTTTTTTTTTCTCTTTCTCATAAAAATTAAACTTTAATTTTATGCTAAAAAATTTCCATAGCAATTATTTCTGGAGTGCTGCTTACCATCTTATTGTTGCTGTTGATATTTCTACGAAAACGTATCTTAATTGCCATTGCTTTGATCAAGGAAGGAAGCAGGTAAGGTTAAACTTTGAAGTTTTAAAGTAGTAGTTACTGAAGGTACTTATTTATTACCTTAGTTATGTAGATTTAAACATCTTTGTTGATAGTTTTGATCAGATTCAAGCATTTCAGGATATTCTATAGCTATTGTGATCAGAAATGTCTATAAATGTAAATACAAATTACTTTATGTTAAAATAACAATTGTCTTGCTAGTGCGAGTGTAATTATGTTAATTTTATTATGAATGATGAAGTTTCATTTTGTTAAGCAGGGTTCATAGTTTTCACTATTGGTGTACATTTTTTTTTTAATAAGAAAATCCAAGCTCAAGGATAAATTGATGAGATTTCTTTAAATCAAAGACTTGGGCTTGACTTGTATATACTTTTAGACACTGTTCATGTAGACATATTTTACATCTTCTGAGAATAAATGAATAAAAAACCTATAACCTGAGTTCTTTCGGAAGGTGGACCTTTCTTCTTCTTCAGGGGCAAAGAAGAAGAAGAAAGGTCCACCTTTTTCGAAAATGCTCTGTCATAGGGTTTTTATTTATTTCTATCAAGATTTCTTGAATCAACATGGTTATCTAACAAAATGAATGTAACACCTTCTGAGAATGTGTTGATGGGTTATTAAGTTGATGGAGCTGTTAAAAAGTATGTTCAAGTTCCATAGATTTACAGCAAAAATGTTGAAAAGCTGTTTGTTAGAATGATATTCAAGAACAGATAATAAGTTGTTATATATGACTTAAATTCTATCTTTTAAACATTAATTCTGTATTATATTTAAATTATGTGAGATAACATGAGTTTTTCAGCATCTTTTATTTGTAATTTTAGGGCTGTGGGCACAATGATGTCATCACTGTTTTTTCCTATCATTCCATACATCTTTTTGTTTGCACTGTTTGTCTTTTGGGGCTCAGTTGCAATGTATCCTTTCCATAAAATGTCATGGGATAAAGCTTGGTATTAAAAACTTTTTAAGATTTTTACTTTTAATTCTATGTACACTGTTGTTGGTATTAAAAACTTTTTAAGAGTTTTACTTTTAATTCTATGTACACTGTTGTTGGTATTAAAAACTTTTTAAGATTTTTACTTTTAATTCTATGTACACTGTTGTAATTTTAAAGTATAAGATTTTAGCATGTCAAGTGGATAGCATAAATTAAACCAACTATAATAGACTTTTATGATTTGCCATTTTACATCATTATGTTACTGCATTTGACAGATTTGCCAAAAAGAACACTGCATACTTATATCTTGTGGTTACTTGGTAATTTGGACTTTTTTTTCTGATCTGTGCTTGATATTGCTATTAGTTAGTCACAAAAAACGTATTAAAAATTATAGTTTATATTTTGTCATTATCTGACAGTTTCATGTTTTTTATTCTAAGATAGTGTATATTTATCATCAAATATCAAGAAGAAAATCAGCACATGCTTTGGATAACTTTGGATTTATTTTAAAAGAGTGAATGTAAGAACTAGGAAGTATGATTTGAAAAATTATTTTGAAAATGAATTTTCAAAAGTTATTTGATTTTCTGTTTGTTTAAATGAAGAGGAATAAAAATGCTGATTCAATTTACAGTACTTATAATGTACAATGTCATAATCCAACTATATTTTAACACTTGCCACAGGCAGGTCAAATTGCAAATCACAACCTTTTACAGAGTTGCATTCAAAATTGAATTAACTTTATGGTTACAGGGTTGAACGTATTTGACTACTTCTTGTATGGAGAATGATACACAGTACAACAATACTTACAATAACCCTGAGCTTTCTTAACATATCTTCACAACAATTGATAAGATTTTGTTAAAGATTACAAGTATTTTGTACAGAAAGAATGAGATTATTTCAATTAAAGAATTGTTATTTTGGTATTGTAGTTATTTTCACTCAGACTGAATATTTCGAGAATTATCATCAGTGTATTGTGCAATGAAATGTTTAAAATTAAAAATGGAAAAAATTGTACATACCTTTTCATTTTTTGTCAAATAATCTTAAAAAAATCTTCTTTCAGTTATATTCTTAATTGTAAATTTTTTACTTTTTCACATATAGTTTATTTTCAATGTTTTATTTTCCATTCCTGTCCTTTAGCATTATTACTCATTGTGACACGCGTCAACGTGCATTCTCGAGCGATATTAGGGTATCATAGGCAAAGACACTTTAGCCTTCTTCAGAATGTTGGGACATTTGCCTACTTCACTAAGCCTGATGAACCAAAGCAGTTTAGCTTATACTTTGAAAAATTATTAAAGCTTTTTAATATGTATTTTAAAACATAAATAATACAAAATTAACTAAAATATAATAATGAAACCTAAATACAATTTAATTGTCTATCAAACTAACATATTTAAAGTTCTAGTGAGGACAAAAGCAGCAACAATGTTACGATCAGTTTGAGGTTGTATTTTAAAATGTGGTCTTTCTATTGGTTATGAACATCTAGATCAACTAAGTATAATTGGCTGAGAAATTGCAACTCTATGTGTGAAAGTGGGCATGGCATCTGCCAAGAGTTCCAAGAAATTTCTTTTCTTTTCTCCGAACATGCCCTTTCAAGTTTGCAAGAAGAATATATAAACAGAGAAATTATCCCCTAGATTCTATCTATAAATGGAAAGTTAATGTACATCAAGAAAGTATTCAAGTTACAAAGTCCAGAAGTTAAGTCTTGTAGACTTTTGCATCAAACTGAAGTTTAAGAATTTTTTTCTTTAAGGTTTCTTTTGAAATAAAAGAATTAAAACTTAAATAATATAAAACTTTGGGCTATAGACCTCGATTGTAAGATTGCTTAATACAACAAAGTAAAATCTCATGACGTGCAGAACTGGGGTGCCTGTAACCATAGTGTTAAACTACTTTACTATCACGGTATATGAATAATCTTTGCATCAAAACAAATTTTAATATTGTGTAAGTTTTGAGTTCCTTTTTGAATAACAAAATGTTTAAAAAATCCTCAATTTCCCCAGTAGGAGAATTTTGTCATTTGTTCTCTAGATCTTCTCTAGATTTCTTCCCTTTCTGATTTATTTACCATCCTTTTGAGAAGTACAGAATGTAATGCAAATTACACACTCTAATATAGATAATAGTAAGGCAAAGTCTAATTTTTATAGCATTTCAATCTTATTTCTTTATGAAGTCATAAACTAGAAAATCAGAGCCACTTGCCATGTCTACCTGTTATATCCTCTCTTTAACAATTTGCTAAAAATTCTCTCTGATGCTTTATACTGTATTATTTATAACCAAATAATAAACCAATAGAACATTGACATTTATATTGCATTGTTTTCAATGCAGAGTATTGTCTGTTTGCTCTTTTGCCAGTTAAATTATGACAGTTATAGGACATTGTTTGCTTTGTGCATATTAGTATCTTGTGTCCTTAGATGCATTATTTTAATTCATTAAAAAGTACTTAGGATAGTAGTACCATTAGTATAAAAAGTAGGTTTAACTTTCATTGACAGTTGACAGGAAAAAAGAAAAAATTCAGATAAGAATTATATTTCTTGTTTTTGATGTGTATTCTTTATTTATTGCTAAAAATGTATCTAAAATGTAAAAATGATAAACTTGTTATGTTGAATTAGGTAAGATAATGAAAAATAATAATAAAAAAATTATTTAGGAGGTATGCTTGTGAGTCTGTTGTGTGTTATATAATTTGATTCAGTAACATGGGCTACATGCTTGCTGAGTGAATTACAATTTGTGTGGTGGGATTAATAGTTAGAAACTGTTCAAAAAGCAATAAAATAATAAAATTTAAGTAGAAACAGATGTTACAAGCTTTAAGTTATTTAGGATAAACAATTGTGGTTTTCTGTTACAAGTTGCAGTCTTTCCAGAAAGAAAAAAGGATAATTTGGATATATTTCATAATTGTTTTATGGTGATCATAAGGTCGGTCAAACTGATTGACCAAGTATAGAGCTATAGTATAGGAAATAACAGTTAAGATATAAAGTTTTTCTGGAAAAAAAATGTTTAGGAGGTTTTAGGGATTTTGCAAATGAAATTGGAAATGTTTTTGCATCAAGAAATGTTTAAAAGTCACATCTTGGTTTTTGTATAGTTTAATTTTCTTTTTGTTCATAATCCTATCTGTATATTGTTTTTTCAACATTCCATTGAAGTATGTTAATGTCCTACTATTTATAAAGATGTGAATAAAATTATAATTTTAGCATTGCTAATAAACAATGAAGCTATTATTTGTATATTTGTAATTTATTAATAACTGTCTTCAATTAAGGAAATTTGACATCTTCCAAGGTTTCAGTAAGTTACTAAATAAGTGCCCTGTTGCAACTAAGGGATATCAAACAAATCATGGGTTTGAATGATTGATTAATTTTAATTTCTGATTAATTATCAAAATGTCTTTATTTTCTGTAGGAATAAAGTTTGAACTGAAAGAGAAATTCTCTGTACAGACAACAACGTAATAAAATACATTATTTGATAGGGAAAATGTCAGATGGGTGTGACCAAAAGAGACTGATTTTCTATTGGATTGCTCTGTAAATAAATCAGATTGGATGCTATGCTTTGCCTGAACTATAATGAGTAATCTACATTAAATTTTGGAGGGATTGTTAAAAAAATTAGAGATGAAGGAAGACATAGATAACAAACGTCACAGTTCTCATACTAGGGGTGATAATAATACTAAACTTTGATTTATTATCTACATGGCCTGGCATGGCCAGGTGGTTAAGGCACTCGACTCGCAATCTGAAGGGTCGCGGTTCGATCCTGTCACACCAACAT